CTTTCCCTGTCTCCCACACCATCTCAATGTAATCCTCAGTTGCTCTCACACTTCATGCTCTTGTACTCTTGGAAGTGGCTAGTTATCACAAAAGGCTTGTTGAGAAGTTGGATAGACATCTAAACTATTTTAACATTGTTCTTTCCTTCTATGCTGTAGCCAGAAACAAATCTCACTCCTGATGAAGGATCAAGACAATCGTTCAAAGGAAAGCAGTTTACTGAAGGACACCTGCCAGAATTGGAGGCAGGCCCCTCAGTACCTAAGCAGTGCTATTTACTTGGGAAGTTTCCTTGCATGCCAGCAAGACCAAAGTAGCTGAGGAATACCTAGCACATTTTTTAGATTACTTGTTCAAAGTCTTGAGTTTTTTTGTACAGCTCGGCACCTGTATTAAACAAAAAGTGTGGCCCAGTCCTCTGAAAATGTTTTCTGTGGGTTAGAGCAGAGAAGAAATACCGATTCTGTTGTCTCCCTTATTCATACATGACACAACTTCCTAAAGACTGCAAAGGGGAAAGGGAAAAGTCAGTTATCTCTCACAAAGGTATAGATGGGACATTGAAATAGCTGTTTCAGATAACTGGGTGAGGAGGAGTCCTAAACATAATCCAAGGCCTCCTAATAAAAAGCAGATTTTCTCGTGAAGAATCCGCAAAAGACTAATTTCAAGGATTTGGGTTGGACCTCCATGAACCTGACCTGGTCAAGTATGCTTAAAAGTGTCTGGGCTGAATTTAGCTTAAAACGTCTTTCCTTTAGGACACTGACTAAACTAGAGATGAGAGTCACTGGCAAGAGAACCATATTAGAAACAAAACTGCAAATTTGATCCCCATCAGAAAACATGGAAAATTTTTACAGCGCATACAGTTCTGTTGATAGTTGAATTTCGGGGACACACTTTCAGATACATGGAGACAGTCTGTGCTCATCTTTCTTACCCATTTTGATTTCAGTCAACACAGTGATTTTCAGAAAAGAAAGAATTTAAGAGAGGAGAGAGTCATCAGAAACTGGACTCTCTCAAAAGCTTCCTCAACAGCCTTCCTCCTTTTTGTCTCCCACACCATCTCAATGTAATCCTCAGTTGCTCTCACACTTCATGCTCTTGTACTCTTGGAAGTGGCTAGTTATCACAAAAGGCTTGTTGAGAAGTTGGATAGACATCTAAACTATTTTAACATTGTTCTTTCCTTCTATGCTGTAGCCAGAAACAAATCTCAAGCATGCCTGTGAAAGAGGTAATGTAAAACATGTAAGTAAACTCTTGTCTAAGAAAAATTCTGCCTAAAAATTCCCTCATCAGTATATTTTGAAATGTTTTTATTTTCCATTTTTTTTCATGCACTGTGGATCTGAATTCTGTGGGACTACACAGTTCTAGTAGTTTCAAACTGGTTATTACTCCATATCTTGTAAACAGACTCAACTCCTACATACTGAAGAGAGCACAATGTTTTTAGTTTGGTTCAGTCTTCTCCACTTGGCTCTCCATTGCTCTAAGATTTAAGCTAAAGGTGAGTAAAGGTACAGCTTTTTCATTTGGATACTCACATAGATTTGTATCTTACCTGTGCTATGAAGGATAACACTTCATCAACCACATACAGATGTCAATTTTTTTACCTTTTGTAAAACTTCCTGTAAAACTGAAGCTAGATGTTTTCAATAAAGCTTGTGAGAATCTTAACGAATTTGTTTGCCCATCTTGAATGGATTTGACTTGTTGAATCATCTATTCTAAGAAGTTATGATTTAAGCAGAAACATCTTGGAACATTATACACGTATTATGTGCACATGTGCATATGCTGTCCCCAGTACTCATGAGCCTCACGTGTGTACTTACTTTCAGGGTGTGCAGGGTGTCAGTCCAGTCCATGGAACCTATCTGAGGTATAGCAGTAAGGAGTATGCTAGTAGCCTTATTTGTATTCCCTTTCAGCGTCTTTAAAACTTTATCCACTGAAACCTAGAAATACAATAAAACTGAGTGGCGGATCTCAATTTTGATGGCACACATTTTTAATATCCAAATAAATTCATTTAACTCATACATCTCTAAGTGAAAAGGCGAAGCCTTAAATGCCACAATCCTTTTAGCCAGTAAAAAAAAAATCTTTCCTCTGTGGGTGTATGTCTGATTGTATTTTACACAAACAGGAGAACTAAAGCAGTTTATGAAAATGAGTGATGTAGCAACAATTTACTATGTTCTTACTTTCACAATCATTCATCCAGAATAACTCAGTGATACTGGTGTAAGAAAGAACAGATTTACTTCAGTGTCATGGTTTAACCCCAGCCAGCAACTAAGCCCCACACAGCTGCTTGCTCACTCATTCCCGTCAAGGGGGATAGGGGAGAGAACTGGAAAGGTAAAAGTTAGTAAACTTGTGGGTTGAGATGAAGACAGTTTCATAGGTAAAGCAAAAGCTGCACATGCAAGCAAAGCAGAACAAGGAATTAATTCCCTGCTTCCCATGGGCAGGCAGGCATTTGGCCATCTCCAGGAAAGCAGGGCTCCATCACATGTAACTGTTACTTGGGAAGACAAACACCATCACTCTGAACAACCCCGCTTTCCTTCTTCTTCTGCCAGCTCTCTATGTTGAGCATGACATCATATGGTATAGCCTTTGGGTCAGTTGGGGTCAGCTGTCCTGGCTGTGCCCCCTCCCAGCTTCTTGTGCCCCCCCAGCCCACTCGCTGGTGGGGTGGGGCGAGAAGCAGAAAAGGCCTTGACTCTGTGTAAGCGCTGCTCAGCAATAGCTAAAACATCCCTGTGTTATCAACACTGTTTCCAGTGCAAATCCAAAACATACTAGCTACTATGAAGAAAATTAACTCTACCCCAGCCCAAACCAGCGTGTTCTGTATGTGATCTCTTATCAAAACCTACAGGTTCTCATCCAGATCCCTCAGAACAAGACCCAGAGGAAAAAAATTTCACTCACTGCTTCTTCGTGTTCCTTCCAGCAGTCGTAATCTGTTGCCATGGCAATACTAGCATAACTCATTCCAGCTTCTCTCGCAAGAATCACTTCAGGCACTGTGGTCATGTTGATAACATCAGCTCCCCAGCTGCGAAACATCAAGCTTTCTGCTCGAGAACTAAAACGTGGGCCTTCGATTGTGATCATTGTCCCCTTACAATGACACTGGAGCCCAAGCTTCTTGGCAGTCTCAATAAGAACCTGTAAAACATGCCAATATCAGGAAAAGGAAATAATTCCCCTGGTTTACTGCTTTCGCATCCCATCAAAAAGCTTACATACAAAATAAATTAGCTTTATACAAAGCAGTAAAGCTTCACGTGGCTATGGCTGTCCACAGCCAAGGATCAGTTTCAGTCTCCTCATCCAGCAAGATAAATTAATAGTCCTACTAAGAGGAATGATCTTGAACTCATATGATTTTGTTAGTAACAGTTGGATTACTGTTTTCAGTGCAGACCAAGAACATTGGAAACAGAAAAATTTTGCATGGTATTTAGGCAGTGCTTACATTGAGAACAGAATGGTGGAAACACTCCACTTGGCACTACATTACCACATGGTGGAGTTGAGCTCTTGAGAACAGTAATAGGAAATTTATTTTTTGAAAGAGAACTTCACAAGCACATACTTCAAAGAGTACCCTGTGAATCTGTAGTGGAATTATTACCACTTTTTCCCATGTCAGTGACTGAGCTGTACGCTTTATATATACCATGTACTTCACATTAGTCTTTGCAGTTCCAACTAGGACCTTGTATATGGCAGAATTATCATGATTTTCTCTCTTGGTAAATGGCCTGGGTAACAGCAGTTGATACAGTAGGAATAAGAGCATACTGGCATGTGTAAATGGGACTAGGACACCCATAATAGTCCACAGTAGGAAGGGGAAAGTAACTACGATGACATCTGTTTAAAAAAACCATCAAAAAAGCTTGAAAAGAAGTATAAAAGCAGCAAGAAAAATTGTGACAGGACAGGAGAGACCATAACACAGCAGCAGTGAAAACCTAGTCTGACACCACTAGAAGCTGCCTTGTCAGCATCATGACCTCATGCAGGCCAGGTAGAGCAGCCTCCCTGCAAAATGCTGTGAGAAGCTTGCCCTCCAGCTGGTTGGTCGACCCGCCATACACGGGTGCAATGAGCAGCGATACCCCGAGTGTGCTATGTCACCTTCTGGGTGGATTGTGTGGAGCAGCACAAGTACACATAAAGCTGGAGTACCCACCCCTCCTACTGCAGATGTGTGTGAACAGGTAAACATGCACTCACAGAAGAGGGTGGATGTGCATGTAACCACCACGTGCTGGGGAAAGGTATTTGTGCATGCAGCTACGTGAATATACATGCAGGGGCTAAGCAGAGCTTCTGGGGATTAGCCACAAAAGGACACTTAGAAATTTGTAGGTGTTTATTAATATGCTGTAAAATAATATTAATCACACCTAATATTGTGGTTTATTGCTGATACTCATCCTGAACATATGACTCACTGATTGCCAGTTAATTAATGTTGTTAATAAATCAACAAACAACTTCAATTGTGATTTGACTTAAACCACAGTTAAGCAGTATTTCCCAGAAACTCTTTACAAAGTTCCAACTTTACTCCCCATAAGATGTTGCAGTGAGCCCCAGTTTCTGAAAGCATTAATAACCAAGCCACCCTATGTTATTCAAAAGTTTGCAGTCAGAGAAAAGATAAACTCCTTTCAGATTCTCATTTACAGTGCATAAATCAAGTAAAACAGAGTATTTTCACATATTGCACAAATGCATTTTAATATAAAGTTTTCAGATGTTGTCATGCAAAATTCCTTAATTAGCCTATGACATTAATAGATTGCATTTATCTATGAAATTCACATGAATCAGGATAAACGGGGCTGAAATGATCTCAACAATTTTCAGGGACAGTTCCAGGAAAAAAGTTTAAGTCACTTTTATCTGGTATTTTCAAACGAAGTGAAAGTATCCCTTTCCAGCCTTGCTAAGGGCTCAAAACCACATGTTCTTTAAAACATCTGTTAGCCTGATTAGAACACATAGGCTAATGAGATAATGATCACATGTGAGACTGGGAAGTACCTAAATGTTTTTTCTCTGTTTGAAAAGGAGCATTTTCAAAAAATGTAATATCCAGAGGACATTGTCTCTAGCTACTTAACAATCAAATGAAAACTAGCCTTGGTGTATGTTTCCTGCAACCTCAGGAACTGTCTTATGCATATCTACTTACCTTTTTTAAAAAATGAAAAAGAGACACAGTGTGAAGTACTGCCAAACACTTCAGTAATAACAGTTTTTAAGCCATTTCAGAAAGTGTACAGTTAGGTCTCAATAAACTTGCATTTGTTGTGACACGATATCATGCTCCAAGTCAGTAAGCCACTATATGCCAAGTAATCTTTGGTAAGGGCATGTGGCTAGGCTCTCGTTGCATGAAAATCACAATGTATTTTGTATAATTTGCTGCTCAGTGGAAGAATGGCAAAAAATATCTTTACTTCATTGCAAAACACCTCGATTCCCAGTGCACTGACGCATTGTTCTACTAATAGTGCTGTGGACCTGCTGGTGGATATCTCAAAACTACACCGTGTCCGGCCAGTTAACAAAAATAGCCTTTAATGACACTGAAATGAATTGGTGACTAGAGCAGAATAGCTCAGTAGTACAAATATTTGTACATGCTCTGGGTACAGATTGGACCACCTGCTTCACAATTCAGCTTTGTCCTGCTTGGTGTAGTAACTGACTGCACAAAGAGCAAGTCTCTTAGATGGATATGACTGATTCTGTAAGCGTTCCTGTGCCCCTGGAGAATGTATCTCCTTGCAGCTTCTGACCACAGCATTCCACAACAGCACAAAATGTGCAGTTCAATCTTCACCTTCTCTTTTCCTCAGGTCTAAGAATATGCTAAGGTGGCATATTTAATCACAGACATGCTCCTCCCAGAAGCTTATAAGGTGTTGAAAAACAGAGCAGTGTTTCACGCTGCTTAGTGGTTTTGAAGCCTGAAAATCCTCAAGTGACAAAACTAAGAGCAACAGTTGAGAATAAAAGGCTACTGTAATTTCACTTGTATCTATGTTTAACGTCCTTTAAACTAAGCCTCCACTCTCCATCACCATCCAGTGCTAAAATGCACAAAAGCACAAATGCAATATTGTAATTTCTGTGAATTCTGAAGTACTATTTAATTCTTTGTATTAAGTATGTAGAGTGCCTTTACCATAGCTACAATTTTGTTCAGAACAAAAAGGAACTAACTCCTAATTTTATCTTCCTGTTTTGTCCACTTTCTTGCTCTCTTGGCTTGTTACCTGATAAATAAAGATCTTTCGTCCAGTTATTAAGACCTTGGTGAAATCTAGGTTGCCAGCTGACATCTTCTGCATACCTCCCTTGGGAAGACAGCTCTTATAGACACAAGATCTTTTACTTCCCATGCCTTCCAACTGTTACATTTTTCCTTAATACCATGACATACCTGAGAAACAGGAATAAAGAGGTGCCTATTGCCTCTGTATTCCAAGAACGCTTAACTCATAGAATGATAGAATACCAGGTTGGAAGGGACCTCAAGGATCATCTGGTCCAACCTTTCTTGGTAAAAGCACGGTCAAGATAAGATGTCCCAGCACCCTGCCCAGCTGAATCGTGAAAGTGTCCTATGTTGAGGAATTAGACTACGATATCGTGAATAAGTTCCATAAAAATAGTATTTCTAAATACTATTACAGAATTCACTAACCTCTCTGGTTTTCGTGCAGAATGGCTCTGCCATTGGAATATGACATACGCCTGGAAGAGCGGAATGCTGCCCGTCGTATAAAGTACAATGTCTTTTACTTGTCCTAGAAAAGCAAAAAACATGCTGAGAGAAGAACAGGGAGAAAACAGAAAAGAAAGCAAGAAATTTACACAAATCCACAACCATAGCATTCCTGGGAGGGAACAAAGATATCAGTATGATATTAATGACCACCTGTAATCCTGTTTTGCCTCTGTACAAACCTTTCAGACTTAAGCTTGAGTATAAAACTGTTACTCCAGTAGTGCACTGTCAACTAATCAGAGAAAATCTATTGTTAACAAGATGCTGAAATGCTCGTTTGTTCCTAAACAACACAAATTGCCACATTATGCTGCAAGTCTATGCAAAAGAAATCAGCTAAATATAATAGTTAGGCAAGTAATCTCTGAAAAAAAGAGCACAGTAAACTTTCAGGAAGGGAAGGAATCAAGTCTGAATTACCACAAAGCTAGTTCAAAATAGAGCTTGTTCACATCATTGCATTCCTACACTGAAAGGATGGGAATTTATAGGAACAGCTTCCTGAACAAGAGGTGTGAATTGAACCAGAAAAAACCTGGAACAGGATGTCTTCATATTCTCAGAAAGATTACACACATGCATTGGCAGCTTGCAAGCAGAAGAATCCTTTTTCTCTTTTTTTTCAATTGATAAACTGTTTCCTAGCACGGAAATGGTCAAACACGCTGCAGAAATTACCATCCAGCATGCCATTTTGACAGCTACTGGAACTGTTACCCGCTATCACTTTACATTCAAATGCACTGTCTCAAGCTGATTCAGCCAACTGGATAGCTCTGGAACAAAATTATTTGAGACATTCCCTTCTTCTCCCCAGTGTGTTACATATTGTACTTTATAGGAGAAAAGTAAGGCAACGGCCAAATTCAATCCACAGTTAAAATATAAAATAATTTCTGCTGGTAATACTGCTTACAACAGTTCCCCACCCAAGTCACCAGCAAATATTTAAAAGAAGGTTTTAAATACAAATTACGTGTTAGAGTAGATTGGGAAAAAAAAAAAAGAACCAATAGGGTAGCCTTAAGGATGAGTTTATAAAACAGGAAAAGAGATCAGCAAATTAAAAACATATGCAAAATGGGATACAGCTGTTAAAATTGGTTGAAACACTAATATTAATTTTTCCTTTACGGGATACTGAAGAGCTGCAAATAGCATGTATCATATTTTACACTTTTTTTCAGTATCTGCTAATGAATTATTTAGAATTGCAGGAAATGGGAAAAGTCGTAATCTATTTCCTGCATTACAGTATTTCAGATGTTGTTAGTCAGGCCCTTTCACTCAGAAAAGCCCTGAGGAAAGATTGCATATGTACAAATATTAATCTCTGACTTTCAGATACCCTATGTTCTTTGGAGAGAATGGCCACATCACTACATGGTCTAATAACGAAATCCCACTATGTTTAGCCCCATACAAACTGCATGGGATTAAGTAACAATGGCAAGTTCTATGAGCAACAGGCTATCTGTGTTTGCACTCAAGACTGCAACAATTTCTCTTCTGCATGGAAGGCTGCAACTCTGCAAAAGCCACAGCTGTTTGATATGAGGCCAGCTGATGTCCCTGTACATTGCTAGGATAAGGGCAAGAATAAAGGCAGATTTGAACCAATCTCTGATTCTTGCTATCTACGAAGTAATGGCTGGCACAGAGGAGTGCCTCTCCTCCTTTCTGTAGCCCTGTTACTCAAGTCAGGAGTTGGCTATCCAGATCTGTCCTACTCACCTGTCTGCATGGTACAGGGAGGGCAGCAGCACATAATTTTCACTGCTGCAATACCATTCCTCTGTAACCCTTGCAGAGAGAATAAAGATTACAGAATCACAGATGCTTTCCTTGCCTTACTCTCCAAAACCCAGAGACCTGAGAACAGTATCTGCCAAAGGCGCCTCTCATTAAAGGAGTTTCAAGACCTTCCCCACATACTCTGACTGACTCTTTAAGGAGCCATCAGGAAACAAGAAATAAGTAACTCAACAGCCACTCTTCAAAGATAATCTGCTCCTTAGATCTCACAGTTTTAAGTGTGGAGAAGTGCGCATGCCCCCCGTCAGACGTAGAGCCTGCTTGCATACTGAATGTTATACAATTGCCTGAATTGTTTATATTAAAACAGGAAGAAGTCACCAAGTGCCTGCCTAGAAACTAACCATACTATTTGTAGTAGAAGCGCACAATCCAGATGGATCAATGATAGCATAAAGGGAAGGTACAGAGATGTCCCCAGTGGTGGAGATCAGAGGCAGCACCTGAAAGCATTGGACTGGTAACCACAAGCAAGCAGCTAAGAGTTGGGGCTGCATAGCTCCTGCTGGCCATCTGACCTCTGCAGGGCTCAGTGGAGAGCCCCCACCAGACCTTCATGCTGCCTCTGTGCCAAACAGGGGCAGTGGTACAGGAGAAAAAGGAATTTTTTCTTGGGAATGGGGCATATATGTTTTTATGCATAACTGCTTGTGTATCAAGCTCAGGGAGACAGCAGTACTCGTGGTGCAAGCAAACCCTTGCACTGTTGCATAATTTTGACGTGCTGACCTTGCCTTTACTACTTTTTCAACTTCAAAGCTGCTAGTACTGCAATTTTGGAGGTGTGCCCAGAATTTGTGTTCCCCACAACACTTTTAATCAGACAGTAAGGTGGCTTTTGCTCCTTCATTTTTATTTTATCATAGCAACACAAAGTTTTCTGGCAATGATGACTATGACTGATGCTAGGAAGCAAAATCCAACTGAAATAAGTGAATAAACTAACCGTTTCCATCTGTGATGAACAGTCCTCTACTACTTCTACCATCACCTTCCCCTTTCTTCCAGTAGTGCTCAATTATCAACAAGCTATTAGTTATTAAAGAACAAACTGAAAATTCACACTGGCATCTGCTGTTCAAAAAGCAGTCTCAGCATGTTGTGCCTCTTCAGGGACACTGAAAGATAATTCTGTAAAATCTGAGTGTAACAATACTCTAATCATTGTAGTGGTGTACGTGACACAAAGAATTCAAATGATACGTTGGCAGCTGTTACAGGATTTCTTTTACGAAGCTATTTTTTGCATCTTTGCAACTATGTTGAGTCATCTAAGTAAATGGTTACCTTCTTGCTCTTCTTTTCCTAGCAGACAGCAGCAGCAAACCAAACAGAAAGTATTAAAAAGCCCCTAATCAGTCTGATCCAGCCAGGTGACTAACAGAGCTGTAATAAACTAACATAGGAGCCAAAGGCATAAAAAAAAATTTTCCAGATTTCTTTTAGTCACTTGTTTCAAAGAAGAGAACAACTGTTGTAGCCCATAATAGTATCTGTGGTTACTTCTGGATTTGGAAGTAGGGAGAACACCATGTAAATATTTTGGTACTTATTTAACAACATGTATCTTTTATTGTTTAAACACACACACTAATAGATAAGCATGAAGAAAGCAGAATATATTCTATATTCTGTATATGAAATCAAACACTTAACTAGGAGTGCTAATGATCTGCAGAATTAAGCTCTCAAAATTTTGGGAATGCTATATAGTTCTAATTACACCTATTCAGTGTTCCCCACTGTAAGTCAAATCTATGCCCTAGACTAGGCAGAAGTCCTACACAACTCCTTATATTGAGACTGTCATTAATGCCACAGTGTGAATGCCCAAGGGGAGTAAATTACAATTACTGTCTACAGCTTTCTGCTCAATTCTGGCTCTTCTCCCATTCCCATTCACTATTCCTTCTTCTTGCTTCATACCTGAAAGGAGAATCATGACGTGCTCCCTAAAGCCCGGACACCAAAAGGTACCTGGACACCTAGAAGGCACGGATTAGAACGGCAGCTTGAGTAAATCCTTCCCATCTAGATCCAAGCCTCTTTCCTATGTAGTGCCTGGCATGAGTTTAATCACTATACAGAAGCCAAGGTACCTTCAACAAAAGGAACTGTTTTTGCAGCTTTAATCAGTGCTTTCTTTCCAAGACTGCTGACACAGTTTTTTGCAGGACCCTGATATTTGATTAGAAAGTATTTCAGAAAAATTGAAACTTTTCAGACTTTGGTGGACAATTAATCTATTTTGTTCCATGAAAGTATCTTCCTGTCAGCAGTATTGTTTTCATAATGATTTATCATATATAATGCAATCACTCTTACAGATGATACACCCTTGTGAAAGGCAAAAATGCAGATCCTACCTCCAAAGAACCAGCAGTCTAACACCCATTGGCAAAGACCATCAGGGAAAAAGACTTATCACAGAAATCAAATTGTCAGATGAAACAGACTATTATGACTTGTCAGTTTTCTGAATTAATGTGCAAGCTAGTAATGATTTTAAAATTCATATTACTTACTGTTTTCCTCACTGAAACATTCTTGTGTGCTTTTTGAGAAACTTCATGGTTTCCTGAAGCCATGAAACAAGTCCCCACATGTTCCTATTCTTCTACATTGAAATGAAAACTTACTTGTCCAAATGAAACACCTCTCGTATATGGGCTATGCCATTACTACTGGTGACCATCTGAATAAACTCTAAATGAAGACACAGATCACAGAATGGTTGAGGTTAGAAGGGACCTCTGGAGGTCACCTGGTCCGACCCCCTGCTCAAGCATGGCCACCTAGAGACAGTTGCCCAGGACCCAGGTCCAGGAGGCTTTTGAGTATCTCCAAGGACGGAGACTCCACCACCTCTCTGGGCAACCTGTGCCACTGCTCAGTCACTCTCACAGTGAAAAAGTGTTCCCTAATGTTCAGAGGGAACCTCTTGTGTTTCAGTTTCTTGCCCTTTGCCTCTGGCCCTGCCACTGGGCACCACTGGAAAGAGCTTGGCTCCATCCTCCTTGCACCCTCCCTTCATGTATCTATATACATTGATGAGATCCCCCTTGAGCCTTCTGTTCTCCAGGTTGAACAGTCCTAGCTCTCTCAGCCTTTCCTCATAGAAGAGATGCTCCAGTTCCTTCAGCACCTTCATGGCCCTTTGCTGGACTCTCTCCAGTATCTCCATGTCCCTCTTACACTGGGGAGCCCGGCACTGGACACTGTATTCCAGGTGTGGCCTCACCACTGCTGAGCAGAGGGGAAGAAGGATCACCTCTCTCAACCTGCTGGCAACACCCCTAACTAACGCAGCTCAACATACTATTTGCCTTCTTCGCTGCAATGTAAATGATCCCTGTCCTTTCACTCATCTTCACATCAGATAAATATACTGATTTGTTCTATAACCTTTTTTTTTCCTTCTTCTTGAAAGGGATATGTTCTTAAAACCCAAACTTAACCAAGCTGATTATTTCCTTTCCAGCTCAGAAATTATGATGCAGACTGGCAAGTGCTAGGAAATTTAAAGCTGTGGGATGAGAATACCTAGCTTCAAAATGAATTCTTGATTTTGATAATGACATTTTGGATGAGGGATGGTCTCAGATTTCATGTCTGCATTCACTTCCTGTCTCACTTAATGTCTTTCTGTGTGACCTCTGCAAGAGTTAGTTTCTCCATACTTCCACCCCTCATCTGTAGCAGATAGGGACTCTGCAAACATTCCAACTGTTTCTTGTTTAAAACTGCAGGCTCTCTGGGCCAGAGATTACTTCTTACCATGCATGCAATTCACACCTCAGCACAGTTAGGCTCGCCTCACCTACCTAGGAGTCTGCTACATGATCACACTGTCAAAATAACTGGTGCTTTACTCACAGTCATCCAAACCGTGTACCCATGTATGTTTACTATATTTCCTATGTAAATCAATATCAATACTAAAATTACTAATTTCTAAGTACTACTGGCAGAATAAGGATGATTATGATTTAATCTGTACAAGCAAAGTCATCAGCCTAAATACTTCTAGACTTGAAAAAAAGAAAAAAAACCCCAACATTGTCAGCAATACAGCTGCTCTCCACCTATAAATCAACTTGAGTATAACAGGAAGCAGTTTATATGGTGCTTGCGCCTACAGGGTACTTAGTCATTTAGATACACTGTACTTAAAACATACTCTCTTACAAGAAAAAACATTTCAGTTACATGCACGAGAGAAATGCCAGTAAGCCAGAACTTGAAGAGCACTACACTGCAGAGAACAAACCTAGGTATACATGTTCAGTTGGCAATGAAGTATTGCCACCAGCCTCACAAATGCACAAATAAGCTGCATTAAGCATTTCAATCACTTAAGATTGGGTGGAATACCAGTAAGACCTCCAGATATAGTATACTATACATACTACTAATAAATTTACCTCTTAAAATGTGCAACTGTACTTTTGAAATATTTGGTGTAGTTGGTGATTTTTCCCCCCATTTGCTTGAGTATTTCTAAATAACAAAAAATCAAGGAGAGGATGGACTGTAGTACACAGACCTTGGAAAATGTTACCTCCTTGTTAACATCTCTCCTTGTTTTAAAACAGTCTCCTCTCTTTTCGCACTGTCTTGCATTTGATTCTCTTCTGCAGAACCTCATTATTACTGCATACATTATCCTACCTGGCTGCTACTATGCTTTCTTGCACCTCTCCATCTCATTTCAGGTTCTTCTTAAAACTTAGAACAGCTTGTGCTCTTACCCATGTTCCTCCTCCACATCTAAGAACAAGAGCTCTCTTCTTTTTAGAAGACTCCTCCCAGGGAGTTATACTTCAGTTCATTCAAGGCCATTCTTCAAAGCCTGGTATTTCTTCTACGGCTGTTAGAGCTGAACTTCTTGTAATCTCATTCCTGTTTCCTATCATGACTTTTTGTATGAATCTCATTTTTTGTCATAAGAACTGAGGCTATCACCTCATTCCACAAAAACTTAATTCAACATGTTATTATATAGTTTAACCCCTTTTTTCTCCCCCAAAGCTAAGAACACAATTAAAACCAAACGTTACTCACCAGTCAATGAACTGGTCAATTATGACAAGATCACCAGGTTGTATTTCCTCTCGTAATGAACCACAGGCAGTAGTCACTAATACATGCGAACAATTTTCTTCTTTTAAGGCCCAGATATTGGCACGGTAATTTACGTTTGATGGCGTAATTGTATGATGCCTTCCATGTCTGCAAAGATACATGTTGCAAGAGAGTAAAATAAATCAGACTGCAACTGCCTTCCTTCTTATCTGGGGATAAAGAGAATTCCAGGAAATGTAATTTCCCTAACAACGTTGGAACTGGAATCCATAATTTCAGCTATTTCCAGTGTAGCTTATTCTCCTAACTGTATTAAGGTTCTCTCAGTATTTGATTGAAGTAGTAGTGGTGCACTTTTCTTTTTAAATGCAAAATTTTGAAGTTCAAGATGAATTAAAAGAACCTTGAAAATTCAAATACATTTTAGCAGCTTCAAGAGTAAAAAAAGCATTTTTCTCTGAATTTTTTAAGTCAGTTCCATAGATTCTGAAAACCCAGGTGTAGCAAATTATATCTTCCATACACTACAGCAAATTTGTAGGATTTATAAACACCTCTACAAATTTTCTGCTCAGAAGTGCTATTTATATTCTCCCACTCAGAAAAGAGCAGCACATCACAGGAAATTAAAAACAGAAAGAACACACCGTTTTAATATGTCACCTTCCCAAAGAAAACAGCAGAATCATCACATTTTTCTCTTTGCTTTTAAAATGATCTGGCAGCTTTCATAAATTAGAATGACTTCACACTGTTGCAGTACATTTTTTTCACCAAGACAGGAAATACTTAAGTCTTATGAGCACAAGCTTTTGTGTTATCACTGACATTGCCACAGAGGTACATCACTCACATAATGACTAAACACATCTGAAAATTATTGTTAACCATGCAAGAGGCAAGGAGGAACTTAACTTCCCAACTCATACTTTCACAGAGACCAAAAGGTCTTAAGAACTTGATCAGTTGGGAACTGGGAGTCACAAACAACATGTCCAAGCACTGTGAGGCAGGATTCCCATGTTGTCATTAGTGTTTCTGACACGCTACTAGGCATACAGATTTATTGTTTAATGTCACAGTTGTCATAATCCTCTTCTAGAATATATATGCCTTTTTTTTTTCATCTGGCAATCACAAGCAACTCTGTTATTTTTCTCAAAACACAACATTTACCAAAACACAAAGCTGCAGGTACCTTACCTAAGCCCCAAAAGCAAACTCATGGGGGTTGTATGTAAATGGTCATAAATCCCAGTGAGGATGTAAATCACAGCGAGTTATTCAGCCATCTGTAGCCCAGGCCTATTTTGATACAGCAGAGCTATGAGATCTTGGCCTTACATTTCATTTGAGAAAATGAGAAAAATGTTGTCCAGGTGTAATAAAATAGATGAGCAAAGTCCATGCAAGGTAAGAAAAGTAAAAGCACAGACAAAAGTGTAGTTGCAGCGATGGTAACAGTCAGCAGCTTAACAGAAAAATAGTGGCATGAAGAGAATCAGGGCCCTGAGTGCACCACTGGGTGGTAATTGCCCTGGCCAGCCTCACCCTGGGCCTCCACTGAAACACATGCTGCCCGTGAGACTGCATGCTCCCACCTCCAACCTCAGGTGCCAGCTTCAGTCCTGGCCTGAGCTGTGTCAGGTGTGCCTGTCCCTAGCCTTGTCTCCTGGATGGCCTTCAAACCTGTGCTGTAGCTTGCCTCCATACCTGTTTTCTGGATGGATTTTGGACACACACTGCAGCCTTGCCTCCAACCCCGTCTCTGGCTCTATCTCCTACTGCTCCTGCCTGGACTCCCTGGATGATTATTGGACTTGATTCATCACCCTGACTTGTCTGGAACTGCTGATAGACCCTGCTATCAGCACCTGGCTCTGCCCATGCTATTCAGATGCTGAGAAGCATTAATGCTCTTATGTTTAATCTAATAGCACATTGGTCCTAGATACCCACTGTTACATTAGCATGAAATTTCCATGCACTCATCTGTAGATCCTGCTTCCAGAGTCTCTTCCGAGCATGGTTAAGAAATGTCTGAATAAAAATGACCCAGGGAGGAAGAACTACACGGGATGCAGCCTTCTAAGCAACAAAGGTAACAGCCAGAGGACTCAATAATCAAAGGGAAAGATTTAGAAGAGAGACAGTTCATCTGCAAACAGGCAATTTCCCAGTTTCACATAGAAATTTGCAAACACAGGGAGCAGACAGATTACTGAGGTTATCAGGCACAACCCACCTCCTATTATTTCTAGGGCAGCACCCTCCACTGGATTTCTTTTTCCTAAGCTAGATGGCATTTTTAATACTCTCAGTCCCTGTAGCATCAGATTTATCCAGGAAAAAAACCAGACTTCTGCTGGACTTTGCTAGCAACCACACAGAGCAAGATGAAGTCAGAGTAAAAGTTCAGTTCACCTAATGTAGAAAGAAAAAAATTCTGAGAAAACTTTAGGACATGCAATACAAACCCCCTTAAAATCCTCATTTACCTTGCCAACAGCACACAGTCCACATTTTTTATCTTTCCCAATATCAAAGCATCTGATGGCTGCAAAACAAACAAGTAAGAGTGAGTTCCAGCCTGACAATCACATTAGAAACCTTAACTGTTACTTAAAAATAAGCAGGATAGTTATGAAAGGAAATACTGGTTATCGCCGTAGTCTCACATTTTCTTCAGCTCAGAATAAGCCTGTAACTTGATACAGCAGATTAGTAAATCAGTCAGGAACAGGAAAATCAAACTTGACACCAGAAGGATTATCACATTTTTTCGGTGTTCATACTAACATTAATATTGCAACGCCTTACTTTTAGAGTTTGAAACAGTGATTCAAACAGTGCTACACAAACATGGAAAAATAAGCACGTGCATATTGCCTTTAAATTGGTTAGCACATCTCATTCTCTCCTGTAAACTTTGGTTGCTTTTTGCTGAACAGGTACCATTCCCTACTAAAAGCCCCGTCCCAAAAGAAATCACATTTAATCTGTCCCTTTCCATAACACTCCCCATTCTCTTCTCTGTCCCCTTTCCACCATGGCCCCCTAGATCACACTCATGTTCTAGACCCCTCCAACCCACCCCTCACTCCCCGCCCAGCTTCCTGATAAAATCCCTCTTCCCTGCTGCTGGGAGTCTTGCTTTTGGAAAGTGAACTGTGATATGACAGAGGACTTCTGGTACACTAGCAGCAGCATTGTATTTGGTGGAACAGGAGACAGCACGTGCTCTCCTCTCACAGCTAAACAATGAGAACAGGCATTCCTCCTGACTAACGAACCAGACAGGAAGCTAAAGCATTTTGGTTTTAGCTGCCCAGCTGGGACATGTGCTCTGCCTTGGAAGATGGTCACATTGCCCACGCAGGGCAGCCCCCAAGTCATCATCTGCTGCTAGAACAAATTAACTGCTCTGTGGGCTGTGTTCTCTTCCTGGGCTATATACATAAGGGATCTGAAATACACAATGCTTCTAGCTTCCCTTCTTGCTAAAAAATGTAAGGCCTCTGTTTAATCAGATGCTAAACTGCATTTGTGCTAAACAGTGGTGCAGTTGGATGTGCTGCTTCTCCTCCCCAATTCAGAACTGCATGCATGTCACTGTTTTTATTGCAGTGTAGAAGAAACTGTAAGTAAGCTGGAAGCTACTCTGTGGCAATGTTTCTTTCCATGCCTTGGAATTTAAAGCTGCAATAGCTATTAACAAAATTATAATTTAGTTACTAATCACAAGTTTGCAAGTGTCTGGAAGGACTCACACATTTGCATTTAGAAACGTTCTGTTGCCCACTACTTGATATACTTTTATTTGTATTTTAATGCTTGCAGCATGATTTCAATTATTTAGTTTTACAGCTGTTAATTCTATTACACACATGCAAATTTGCAGAGATCTAGAATAAAGTAATATGTGAGTCCCACATAGCTGCATTTTAGAAATGCTGATTTCTAATAAAAACACCACTTCCTAATCCCTATTGCACAGTTCTTTTTGGTCATTTTTAATGTGAAATCTCTTCAAAGCACCATAATTTGCTCAATCACCTAGGTTTAAATTCTGCCAGACAAATATTTACCACTTTTTTTTTTTTTATAAAAGGAGTGTTCCAGAATATTTATTTTTAGAATTGTAGGGTATTCTGCCTTCTTTTAAAAAGTCTCCATTTAATATTAACCTATTGACATTTAAATGTTTAATCTATTTACCTTACTTTACACATACTCTTTTGAACCAGACATGGCTTTAAAAGTGAAATTTCACACAGGGTGAAAACCTTGCTGTCTAGTTGCCAAGGCATTTTGATGTTGCAACATTCCATAACAATGACAGTACACAGTAATTATCGTTGGGGGTTTGGGGTTTGTTTTGTTTAGAGAGCTCACATTTGCTATGTGATGTAATAAACATGCAACTTAGCTCACAGCAGGATACAAAAATTCTCCTAAAAAATAAAGGGGACTTCAGCCAAAATTCCTTGCCTCCTACCTAAATGAAAAGTTAAGGTCAGTAAGTTGAAGACTGGACCCTTTGCTTTACAAGTGACAGATTTAAGTTTATTGCAAGAGATAGCTTCTTGTTCATTTCAATTTCCAGAAGATCTGGGGTAGAAAGATGCATTTTAACTGCTATTTGATATTCATCCCCATCACAGAACTCCACTGCTGATGCAGCAAGAATGTGACAGCTTTGAAATCCAACAGGCTTCAAAATCTATTTGCAGCAGCCAGGGTTTCCTTCCCTATCTGCTGCCATCCTGGTCATTTCAAAGGCTTCAGGGTGGCCATGTAACAGGACCGGTTGTTACCTTTACACAGATTTCCACTGAACACATTCAGGGCACCTTCCAGTTGACTGCCTGAACACCTTTTTTGCACATGATTGCTAGAAACATAGAAGAGAAAAAAGAAAAATCTGGAACACGGAATGTGCTGCTAAATGATGAACTGACAGTTTAAGAAAACAATTTGCAGGTACTGCATCATGGGTCATTAAAAGAGAGGAAATAAGGATAAATCAATGTGTGTAAAGTTACAAGGAAATAAGGATAAATCAATATGTATAAAGTTACAAGGAAGGGAAAGATCCAGAAATTTCAAACTATGTGCTAACCATGTAACAGAGCTAGTGTATGCTTCTGTTCCACTCTCCTTCTTCCACAAGTTCTTTCCAGTGCTGTACCTCTCTACTATTATCTCAGTTGTAGTCAGGAGCTTTGAGATGCTGATAAAATAATAAAAACTTCCAATGGAACAGTATGAATTTGAAGCTGTAATACAGTATTTTTAAAGCAGGATTTAACAAAGGGCCCAATAAAAAGTTCTCAAACATTAGTAATTCAGGTATGTATTTAAATACTTGTCCCTTCCACAAAATCCAAGCCAGATATATATTACTCAATGTTGCAAAACAGAAAAGGAAGCAAAGACCATGGGCAGTTAACCCTAAATTATGACAGTAACAAACAATTGAAATAAATTCCCTTTGTCTGCAACATAAATATGCATAAAGTATTGTTCATGTGGTGCTTACAGAGTTCATTTTTTCCTCAGTCTCACCTCAGAAGCAAGCCGGAATAGAAAATAGAATGAACAAGCCAAATAAAAATCTAAGGAAAAATTGAGATGGAAAAGCATCTCATAGGTTGCCCAAGCTTTCATTTAACCTATGATCCCGTTTAGGAACCAAACAATGTACATTGTTTTGGAGAGGTAGAAGAGGAGCTTAAGTGTTTTGTCATATGGTCTGATTTTCCTGATGCAAGCATACAAAGCTATTTTGCAAGGTGGAACCCCCCCCCCCCGCTTTGTTTGCCCGATATACCTATGACCAAGAAAAAAGGGGGACGCATAAAATAATGGTTTTCTAGAACAGGAAGATATTTTGCCAGTTTGGGGAGACGTGATTCAGAACCAAGCTCTGTCATCCAGAAAGCGAAACAATCTAACTAGAAGTATGTTATGAACAAAGTTTTATTAGTAGCTTCAAAATTCAATTATGAAGATAAATGCTGTTGCAAGCAATTTTCTTATCCTATAAGAGAACAATATTTTCCATATCTGGAAATGGAATGCCAAAAAGTTTTAGGATATTTTCCACAGAAAGGGAGAAAAGAAGGTTGGAATATTAACAGCTGTAAGCATATTTATTTTTTAAAAAACTAATGTACTGCATTGAAAGATCATGGGAGGACCAATGCCAATACAGAGAATTGCAAAAATTCTCTAGTACTAGTTTCCTTTAAACGTTTCCATATTTCACTTGAAAAAAATATCCCCACATTCCCTAATGATGTAAGTTTTGTTATTAAATGACTCTTAAAATTCAAGAAGGCCAAAGCAGAAGACAATTCAAGGACTCTCTATGAACAAAATGTAAGCTATTATTCTGCTTCTGAAAGTAAAGAAACAGCATTAAAGAAACATCTATTTCGCTGTTGTTGAATGTCAAAGGTGCCAAGGAATGTCACCACCAGAAAGGCTGTCAGTTAAAAGTCTTTTGGCTATGTCCTTGCCAAGAAATTTAAGAATTAAAACCCAAAGTTTAAGGAAAGTAGAACTGTACACCTTGCATTTTTTCAGTATAGAATGATATGGACATACATTTTTTAACTATGCCTTGCATTTTCCTTTTGGCATTAAGACATTGATGTCATAACTCTATGAAAAAGCATCTTTATGGCAGAAAAATCCCAATTTGGTTTTATTTCAGTAACAATCAAGAAAAAGACACACCTTCAGAAAAAAATACGAGCATAAACCATAACCTCTAAACTTTTCCAAGCACACTTAAAAAAAAGTTCTCATTTGCCCTTTCACATTCAGCAATAGCTGCTTCTCTCATCGCTGTTGCTCTAAACACCTCCTTCCTGAATGCTAAGAAGTCTCAGCAGCAAAATAAGCAAACATTGATCCACCTAAGGATACCAATTAAATCTGTGAGGTTTGTTTCTGCTTCAGATCGAAGTCCATCAACTTGACCCACTCAATGCACTTTATGCCACTGTAACTTGTGGTCTAAGCCCTGCACATCTTACGCTAAGGTTGATCTGCCAGTTGCTCCATGAGGATGAAACCTGCAATCAAACACTGAAGTTAATTCGATTCTATACAGGACTGAATCCACATGAAACAACCATCAGGATGATGGCCCAAGTTCTTAGGCATTCAGATCTGCAGTCAGAGAGAAGAGAGATGGGCCAGCAGGGGTGAGGACAAAAGCTCCCTATTTGACTGTGCTCCCTTTCACAGACATGGAAGCCCCACGAAGTTGTGGTTTTCCATACAGGACAGCTTAACAGTCCCAGTTCAGCTCACCACAGTATCTAGAATTCACACTTGGGTTCCTACCATCACATCTCAGTTATAACCCCTGCCCTCCACCGCCATACACAGACACAAAATATTCACAAGCTTTTTCATTAAGTTGAGCTAAATGCATAATACACAAGCTCAGACACAGTCAGTCCATTGATCAAGGTTTCTCACAAACCACAACAGGCAACTAACATTTATTTTCCCCTGCTCATGTCGCATTCTGTGAAGAACACAGAAAAAAGACAGTAGCTAAGCTGCTCCCTAAATGAAATTAAAAAAGCCTTCCATACTGACCAGAAGTGCAGGATCAAGGAAGCTTTTTCCACTCTTCTGGAGGAGACATCCTGTGGGTACTTCTACTCTTCTCAGTAATACCCAAATCCTGTTGCATCCCAGCACTGCAACAGAACAGCCCTCCAAATGCTGTGCTGCCACTAGGCCCTTAACTTGGATCTGAACAAACCCCTGTGAGGGAGGAGAAGAGTATTTTGTCCTTCCTGGATAAGAAGGCTTCAGTAAATATCTGCTACAAGCATAGTGCTATTTTTGCTTTGTGAGCAGTCTCCAGACACAGCCATGCTGCGACGGTCCACAACCCTCAAAAACATGGAATGCAAGAGCAACTGGTTTGGTTTAGCCAGTGGATTCTACCTCAGACCAACGCTGGCTACCATTTAGAGCAGGGTACAGAAAATGCAAGAGGCAAGATCCCTTCATTCTCTTGCAGTTTCTTAACAGATTATGAAGGATGGTGGAAAAGTCAAATGTATTTTTCTGATTATGTTTTCTCCTCCCTTAAGCTTTATCTCCTTCCCCTTCTTGAATGGTGTGCACACAAACTCTGCTTGCTCTTTACACTCTTACTTCCCCCTTAAACCATTCTGAACGGAGGCACAGATTCAGATTTTCAATCACATACCACAGCACTGAGCTTTCTGGCAAGCTTCTGCCCATAAAATGGCTCTTGCTACCACATGCCAGATACTTATTGTATGTATATTAGGTTATGCTGGTAGATTTCATAAGACATAATTCCGATGGCAGTTAGAAAGCAACCAGACTCCCCATGTCTTATGGCATTACAAAACACCCGAGATCCAGTTCTTCGGTGAACTTCCTGTGTCAACTAGAACACCTCTCCCCCTTGATTTCCTGCCTGTAAAACCCTCTCTCATCCTTGGTCTTGCCTGTTCCTGCCATAAATGCTTTGGGGCAGTAATTGTCCTCACAACACACTCAGCACTGCGTACAGAGTAACACTGCTAGCCTCCACTCCCTTTTGCTGAGGAAAAGGGCTGATCAATGTGAAGAATTGGCTAAGAATACCTGTGCCAGAAAAAGCAGTTTTAGAGCTTCATTTTCAAATCAGTTTTGAATTATGTGGTTATAAGCATGACTGTAAAGAAAGCATTGGTACGTAAAGCATAATTCAGTGGTTACAGGGAAAACGGTGGCCCATATACCTCAAAGGACAGTTTTCTGCAATTCATAAAGGTTCCTGAAGTGATCTGACATATACTACAGGTCACACAACAGCACAAATTTGAAAGAGAGGGTTTATCCCTCTTGACTGCAAATTCAGGACTGAGTTTGTAAATTCATCCAAACTACAAACGAGAAGAGACAGTGTGTTCTTTGCACATCATCTTTGTAACACCTTGTTTCTACAAAGAATCACACAGTACATAGGAACTAAAAGGAAATAGTCTTGTGACAGCACCTCCTTCATGCATTCATTTAACAGTCTAGAAATTCTTAAAGCATAAAATATCTTTAAAACCAGTAAAGAGTCTCAGTAATAAAAAAAACACAGGTTATACAGACCTTGCCATAAGGAGTATCAACATATTTTTCTGTTCTTCCTTCTAAGATATCCGGATCATCCAGGCCAGTTCCACCAATAATTCCGATCTTACACAGGAAAGTACATATTAGTCTTCTTGAGAACACATTCCATTTAACAGCATGTCTGAAAAACTAACTAGGCAGCTACAAAATGCATTTTCTGCTTGAGATGGGGCTAGACTACAGATCAACAAAACATAATATGCTGAGCACAGTTTCCCAGAAAAGAAATTTTACATGACTGATTTTAAATAGTTGTATTTAACTTGCCAATTTCTTACACTATGATTCTCCTTTAAAGAAAGCAAATTTAAAAAGCTGTGGAAAATGCACAAAGATGTGACAACTCATTATTTATTCCCAATATAAAAATGAAGGGTATTATTTGGGAATTCCTCTAATGAGTGAGAAATACCCATATAATGCATATTATAACAAAGGTTTCTTGTTTACAGAGGGAAAAACAGTCCTATACATAATCACCATACTGAATACCAGCATTACTATATAGTATTATACATACGAAATAATGAAAACCTTTTTCAAAAATTAGAATGTTTTTGTGTTGGCTTGCCAAGATCTAAAAAATTCCCCATTTTTGTAAGCAGTCTCTGTACAGCTTCTGAAAAGGTAGACAGCTCAACAGCATCTTCACAAGTGAAATAAAAAGAATATGCTGACAATTTCACCTGCTGTGAGGACTGCTGGGTTTCTCCACATATTTCCATTTAGGTTTTCTTCCTTTAAGAAGGCCTAAGTGATCATTCGAACTTTGCCTGCAGCTGGGTCACTAATCGTTTCCTGTGTAGACACACTGGTGTCAGGCTTTGTTCAACTCACCACCTTTCCCTAAGTAGAAACTTGGTCCTCCTACTTTTTTTACAAAGTGTTTTCACTTACTTTCCCCCCAAAATTTATGTAATTGACTAACAGTTTTAAAACATAATTGGAAAGGGAAAAGAGAGGGAGAAGCAAAGGGCCACCTAAATATAACGCATATTTTGTTTCCTTAGGAAATCAGGCTAAAAGTCCTGTGTTGTGGTTTGATACAATTTGTAGTGAAGAAGCGTGAAGTGACTCACAATTACCACCTATCCGTCATGCTTTAGTAATCACCAATTTCTTGTTCTTGCTAATTGGTTATCTGTTCTAGTTCTTTTGTAAAAGAAGTGGAAAGAAAAAAAAAGGTGATTTGAAACATATATCCTCAGGGAGACTCAACTCGCCTGTGATTTTATACTCCAGCTAAAGAAAAATGCATCTGAATTTTCTTGTTTCTAGTTCATCATTGGAAAGTATCTTGTTTTAGTCTTTCTAAGGGTAATTCCATTTTCAATCAAGTTTTCTCTTGAGTTCAGAACACTTCTGGCTCTTTGGATGGAAGGGGTACTGTCAGGCCCTTCACAACCTGGTATTATATACCATATATATACCAATAATGGTATTTAAAAATAACGTCACCATTTATCACACACAAAATGCTACTGGTTTTTTTTTCCTCCAAAAAAAAAAAGGTATCATTCCATCATGACTTACTACTGCACGTTTCACCATTTTTACTATTTTTAAAGTCAATTTCTCAAGCAAAACCTCCAGACTTCAACATACAACAACTCCCTTCCACAACACAAACCCACCTGTCTCTTACCCCATCTTTTTCTTAACTTCCACATTCATAGAGACCTCATTTGTTCAACCACTATGTTAACTGGCTCATCAAGCATTTCGTTTTGATAAGCAGAAGTTCTGTGGTCTTCATTACACATCAAATACTTCTCTGAGAAAGCTTTCCACACCAGATGGTGTAAACGCAGGTACGCTGAAGTAGCTTTAGCAAATCTCTTACTTCCTTTGCTACCCCCCTGTGGAGCACGAGGAGTAGTGCAAAGGAAAATACCAGTAAAACTCTACAAACTCCAACCCTGAATATACTCAAGCATTAGGGAAGACCTAGATCGTTATTTGTAGTGGTACTGATGGGTCCATTCCTGTGTTACTCACGTTGCTTAGTTATAACAAATGTTCAGAGTGTTAGATTGCTCATGAAAATCCTGAAAACCATTGTCCTGGTTTTGGCTGGGACAGAGTTAGTTTTCTTCCTCGTAGCTGTCATAGTGCTGCATTTTGGATTTAGTACGAGAATAATGTTGGTAGCACCTTGGTGCTTTAGTTGTTGCTAAGCAGTGCTTACACCAGTCAAGCATTTTTCAGTTTCCCATGCTCTGCCAGGTCCACAGCCAGGACAGCTGACTCCAGTTGGCCAAAGGGGTATTCCAGACCATATGACACCATGCTCAGGGCAAGAGTGCTGCAATTGATCACTGCAATTGCATTGTGTTTTGTATATTGTGTATATTCTCTTACCATTATTATTATTCTTTTCCTCTGCTGTTTTATTAAACTGTCTTTATCTCAACCTATGGGTTTTACTCCCCCCCCCCAATTCTCTCCGCCATCCCACTGGGGGCGGGGGAGTGAGTGAACGGCTGTGTGGTGTTCAGCTACCTGCCTGGTTAAACCACAACAACCATATACATTTTAGGATGAACAATTTTTCACCCGAAGAACTGTGTAGAAAGCGTGCAAGAGGAGCAATCACAAAACTCAAAATCAACAAAAGACCACCTTCAATGTTGTTCACGCATGCATTCTATAAACAAGGAAGATTACTACATAAACAGAAGCCAGGATCAAAACGTTAACTCTTTTTTTTTAATCTAAAAAAAAAAAAAAAAGGTTCCTTCAGTAACTTAACTAGTTTTAGTTTGGTATAATCCTTATTAGTGCCCTGTGACCTAATATTGAGAATATGCAAAAGGAAATGCTTATCTGCCTGAATTTTTATGTCTGGCTAAGTGCAAGTTATTGGGACTGAGGAAAACAGCACAATGTTGGAGATACCAGCTACCGCTAGAAACATAAAAGTTATTTTGGAACTGCAGTGCTTTAAGGTCCTTACGAACACACAGACCCAGCACTGCAACAGACAGTTTCTACCAGAAAGCAGCACATCTGATCTCTGGCAGCAGAGAGCTTGGTCTGTTCATGGCAGCATAGGCCTGGTAGGGTTGCTTTCAGATCTGCTCTCAAGCTCCCTACTCCCGCTACTGCATCAATACGTGCTTGTGCTACACAGTTCAGTTCCAGAGCAGGCTTTCACACCAACGGCCATGCTGTCAGAAATGGCAGCGGTGCAACGAGCTGGCAAAATATCCACAGCTCCCAGGGTGGAGAACCCACAGCACGGAAGAAGAGCTAGGCTACCCTGAATTTGCTTTTGCCTTCTGCCTCACTCACTGCAAAACATCTCAAGCAGCAGCTTGGTCAATCTTCAAAGCCACCTTAGGCAACACTGGCTACAGAAACGCTGGGCTCACTATAATTCACCGGAGAGCTACTACAGCGGAAGGAAAGTTAGGCCAGCAAGGATTTGTTGAAGCAGCTGCTTCTCCAACCATGTAATGCCAACTTGGAGCTGGCAGCTCCAATCCCAAAATTAATTTTACCTCTCTGCAAGAGAGTTATTTTTCCTTCAGTTTACATAATCTCCAGGAAGACCAGCTGCATCTGAGGGCTAGAGACCCAAAAATCTGATTCTGGTTTAAATTCTGCTTTACAGACCTTCTAGTGAATTATCAAAAGGAATGCAGCTGCTCTAGGCTCAGTGGGGAGTATCTGTCAAAAAACAGCAGCAATGAGTTGACTCAGAGAGGAAAGTCTCACCTTCCCTCAAAAGGCAGAGACAGTCACATCTAGGAGTGACCTCAAGAATGAATGGAAAGATGCAAGACCATATGCTCCATTCTAGACTTTGCATCCCACAAAGGGACATGAAAGACATAATCTGTAAAAATTAATGGAGGCTGTAGCTAAGGTTATCTGGAATTAAATCTAAAGTAAACCGGCATTGCAGCGGAATGAAACATGAAGTATTTTACTACGGTATAGTCCATCTCAAACGTTGGGATGAAGAGCAACAGAAGTGAAACCAAAAGCGTTTATCTATGAGAGTCTAAATAATGATCACACCTACATGTATGCCTTTACCTGCTGTTTGGTGAAATTCCTCAAACAGGTTCAAGCACAAGATACAGGAGTATCAGTGTGGTAACAGCCTACACTTGTCCATCTGAGGGTCTTATCCACTAGCACGTTAGGTGTTCTCACCATCGGCTTTGAGTCTTTTTGACAACTAAAACCCAATGAATACATCTGTATTCCTCTCTTCTATTTTGGGGGTAATGAGAAGAGGATGGCATTAGAAAGAATTTCACTTAAAAGGAGATAAACAGCAAGCTGCATACAGTTTACAGTTAAGAGAATAAACCCACTGTCTCCATGTAATAAAGACAGCTTATAATCGATTTCTGCAAGTGAAAAGAACTGGGAGAGCTACTTCACCTCAGAAAACTAATTCACGTTTTGGCCAAAACACAAACCCAGGGTTTCGGCCTAACCTGACCGGTCACCCCTGACGCAAGCCGTCACTTTTTGAAGCCGTTTTTTAAACACGGGAGACGGACAAGTCTTGCGCGCAAGCTTTGTACCGCCTCCTTCTTCACTGCAGCTTCGGGATTCGCGAACCTGCGGTAACTGCAGACCCGCCCCGGTTCCTCTCACTCACAAATCCGACACACCGCGGCGGGATGGGGAACCGTGAGAACCGGAGGCCTCCGG